ATAACACAGACAATTTCTTCATTATCACATTCTTCAAGTTCTTAATCAATGATTCAACACTGAGTTCACTATTATTAACAGATGTGAATCTGTCAATGTGTGATGATTCTATATGAATAAAAAACAACATATCAGCATCTGCATTCATGCAAAATCATGTCAGAAAACACAATCAGAAACTCACTGAGAAGAAAACAGTTGAGAGTGTATGAGAAGATGAAGAAGATGTGTCATTCATGATAGTACATTCTGACAATTGTTAGAAGATAAACAAGTCCTGGTCACATTTCACAACATGTTACACTTACTGCTAATGAACTGCCTGATATGAGTACTACAAGAACACTTGTTATGAAAACAGAGAGTCATCATCAGAAACATATACAATGTGATAGATGAACAGATGAAAAGAGTTGAACAGAAGAAGAGATAGAAATCTTGAATGAGATAATAGTATTTGATAATGACAATGATGAAGATGATAATTGAAGAATGAGAAAAGTTAGTGAATGAGTGATGTAATATAGTGAAAGTTTCTTTATAAGAGTGTACATGAGATACTAGCTGAATTAGAAATAGATCACATGATTATGAGATGCTAGTGATGAGCTAATCTGCATGAAGCTAGAGCATATGACATGGTCATATGAGTGTGACTGAATCTGGTGAGAAAGAATGTGATTCAGAAGAACATACAATCATCAGATAATAATACAGCCGCTTCTGAACTACTAGTGTACAAATGTAAAGAGGGCCCTAGCGGCCACTAATTAATTTAGTGTACGAGATTCAATATATAAGAAGCCGGCGTACGTCTGTAATCATACACTGACTTAAGCAATCTTTGAATCACACACAGAGACTGCAGCTGCATCACAAAAATATTTAATTACTAGAAAGTGTCAGAATAAGTCTCTTATTATCTTTCAAAAATGATGCTCTCATACACTCACTATTATAGATGAGAGAGAGAGAAGAAAAATGTATTATAGAGAGAGAAGATCTTTTTGAAAAATTCTGTTACTACTGTTAACTTTATCTCTGAAATACATCACTTTTGCAGAGAATTTCATATATAGAATGAAATATAATAAGAGATCTATAAGTTACTTATTAACTACATTTTTCATATTTTAAATCAATATATAAGAAATTCACTTATCACATGTTTGATTTTAACAGAGATGAGAAAAGAAGATTTATACAGTTAGCAGAGAAACTCATCTATTTCTTTATACTATACACAGCACATGCACTGTCAAATCAGTTAATAACTATTACTATATAATAAAGATAATTTCTAATCTGACAATCTTGAGAGTATTAGAACTATACTCTTAAAGAGAAGAGTATTAATATGTTTCTAGTTATATTAAGACTCTGTTACAGTTTCACAAAGCTCATTACTTCTCTGTGAATAATTTTATTCATTCTGCAGACTGTTTGAATCAGTTTTCAATCACTCTATAATATTATTTAAATATAATATAGAAAGATTTAATTGATGAATATAAAAATCTCACTTCTATTTAAGATTAGCAGATTACTCTTTTATAATAGTGAGATGCTGCTGAGGTATCACTCTGACTATTCTCACTCATAGAATAGAAGAAGAGTATTCATTTATTATCTATATAGATTAGCTAGATGCTGACTCTTAATCAAAGAAGTTAGTGATTTATTTTCTTGTACTGATAATATATATAAGAGTAACCGCATTTTTTATACAATCTTCTTAGTATACTAAGTATAGACTGGCCGCCGGGACCATGAATTTCACATTTGATCTCATTTGATCTGATCTCATACATTTCTTGACGTGAGTCTCACCAGGACCAAGCCTTAAAAAAATCTGAAAATGGACCATTTCTGAGAGAAATGGCATGAAAAATGACCAGATTTAATTCAAGAATAGTGAAATGAGAGTAATTTTCCAGGATAAACTGTGAAAGATGATCATTCTTTCAAAATCAGAATGAGACTGAGACTGAAGATCAAAATCAGTCTCATTCAGTTCATTCAGTGATTGCTTATATAATCAGAATTTAATAATGATTATTGATAATGCTCATGAAACAACTAAATACATTCTTGTGCAAGTTTATTCTTCACTTTCTCATGAAAACTACACTTCTCTGATATACTGTGATCAGAGGTATTAAACTGTCTGATAATTCTATATTTTATAATCATGAGTTTCTTGATTGTTTCTCCTTGTAATTGTCCTCAGCAATAGTGACAAATATCTTGACTTAAGTTGAACTTTCACTTCATTCTCACCTCTGTCAATGAAATTGTCAGAATATCATGTGCTATCAGTGCAACAGTTGAATATGTACTCTCAACAATTTTTCATAACTCTAGAATTGATTTGATGTGTAAATTCATTGAATTATCTTGAAGATAGTGATCAAATTCAGTTTTACAAGCATGTAGTTTTGCCTGATTTTCAGTTGTAATCAATGTATGCAAGTTCTGTTTCAAAGTTAGTATTATAGTTCTATATAATATGAAGTGTTACCAAAGATCATTACTTACTAGAGAATTGTATTTCACTGTCTTCACATCTCAAATATCTGCTCATTCAAATCTCTGATAGTTGACATTGTAGTAGTCTCAGGCTAATTTAACATATGAGTCTCATTTCTCCTCTGTTCAATCTTGAGAAGTGTAGATGTTAACTCAACAAAAGAGATCTAGTAGAGCTGCTACAGTATAGTACTCTGTAAAAGATTGTTTCATTTTGCTGTAGTAATATACCAGTTTATCTCTTGCAGTAACAATAGCCTGCACTATAGCATCATCTCAGACTGAATTTCTTTTTGAGTGATTCAACTGCTTCTCAAGATAAGTAAATAAACTGTTATACACTCATCAGACTGACTGCAGCATTGATGTACAAGTGATTGAGACTGTCTTTATTGTCTTATAAAACTGAAACAGTAAATCAATCACATATTTCAACTGAGTTCACTTCATATCAGAAAGTTTCAATATCTGAATCTTTTCTCAATCAGAGTGTTGCACTCAATGATCAATTATCTGATACAATCAAAGAGTCTGAACAGTCATCTCATATGTTGAACTTCATCATATTCTAACATTCTGTATCATATTCAGTGATGTGACTGATTTGTTTGTTTATTGAATATCATGAAATCATTGTTATTGTTTAGAAGAGATACAAATCACATTAACAATGTTTCAAATCTATGATATTTAAATTATTAGTCAATCTATTCAAAATTAATAGTAGTGTTACTAAAAAGTATTATCAAAAAGCAATATCAAAAAGTGTTATCAAAAAACATTATCTTTTATAAAGTGAATGCAAAAGTTACTTGAGTAATCACTTTCATCTCATTCTCATCTCAAGAACCAGTCATCTCATTATTCTTCATCTCAATGTTAAGATTCTTTATCAGTGTTTGCACTACAAGTTGAATCACATGAGCAATGCAGGGAATATGACCTTGTTTATTATTTCAGAAATGCAAAGCCAATTTTTGCTTTACACTCTTTATCATAGTATAGTTATTTACAGCATTATCAGTTATAATTATAAGAAGACTGAGACTAATATCTCAATAATCATTTTTAATCACAGTCATTAATACCTCTGTCATATAATCCTCAGTATGACTACTGATCAATGATTCAAATTCAATTAATATCTCTCAATAAGTTCAGTTCTTATCAATGTAATAACATGTAACTCTCATAAATACAAGATTGTTTGTACTAGTTCATACATTCACTGTAAGAGACACTCTTTGATGATTCTTCAACTCTGATTCTAGATGTTGTATATTGACTTTGTAGTGTATCTCAAGATTGAACTGAAGACAGAATCAATGTAGAATATGAAGATTTGAATTAAGCATTTGAAGAAGTGTTCAGAATTCAGGGTTTTCAATTGATTGAAGAGAAAGATTCAGAGATATACACATACAAAGTAATTATTCACAGAAGTTATCAGATGAGAGTTATGAAATCAGAGTACTAATACAGAATCATTTTCACATGATTTTCTTCAAATTAGAAAGTTAGTATTATCAAAAATCATTACCTGGTAGAGCAACTTACCAGCTCAGTAGTAATTTTCTGATTATTTTTCTTTTATTGTCTGCATTCTGATGACTTCAGATGTCAGGAAATTTCTTCAGAGTTATGATCAGTTCATGATGAATGTTTCTGAATGAAGTTGCAGTGATTGTAGCAGAGAGATGACTCTTCAGTAATCTGCAATACAATCTGTTGATAATTATTTCATAGTTCATCTCAATATTTGTGTTGAGTTTTTCATAAATTTCATGACCTGAAATCAGATATGAAGAATGAAGTGATTATTCATTATAATTGAAAGAGAGCATTCTGTGTTGAATTGTAAACAACATAGACTTTGTGATTCACAGTGATTTCTTGAAGAGTTTATGAATCTTCAATAGAAGTAAAAGAAGTGAATTCAGAAGATATGATAATAATTTAAGAAAGATAATAATTTATTTTCAATAACTGATCACTGATGTATGTAAGAAGAATTAATATAAGAGAAAATAATCTTGTTTCTTAGCTTAGTTATAATTTTAGTACTAACTCAGATTGAATATCATCAATGTATAAAAGTAAACAAATAATCTTGATTAATCTCTGTCATATTTCTTGAAATATATTAATATTGTGAAAGAGAGTGTTACTAAATTGTATTATTAGATGATATTATTAAAAATATATTAATATTGTGAATATCAATGTTGAAAAAATGTTGATACTTATACATTATAGTGATTTGTGAATCATGATAGTTAAATATATATATATATATATATACTGTTTCTGACTTGATTACAACTTGTACAATAATTTTTAAAAACTCAAAATTAATTTCAATTATTAATAATTATGAACTTACAACTAAACTAACTAATATAAAAAGAAAAAAACTTTTTCTATTTATCATCTTTCTTCTCTTTCTCATTCTTCTTATCATTCTTTATAATTCAGTTCTTATTCTTCTTCTTCTTCTTCTTCTCCTCATCTGAGGTGATAATTATCTCAAAATCTCTCTTCACTGCCTTCTCAGAGAAGGGTTTCTGCTGCTTCCTTCTAGTCAGGTCAACCTGTGTCTCAAAATCCCGCATTTTCTGGTCTGCTGCCTCGGGTTCCACCTCAGCAGTAAGCAGATTGACATGCTCAGAGAGCAGAGCTGTCTTCTCAATATTCTAAATCATGAAGCACATTTGAGACCTGAACAAGGCCTTAATTCCCTTCTTCTCTGCCAGCTTCTGCTAATCAATTAGAGAACAGAAGTATTATCAAAAATCATTATCTCTTAATAAATAAAAAACTTATCAGTTTTGACTTCTTTGTCTCTCACTTCAATACTCTCTTAATCTTCTTCTGTCATTACTTATTTACAGTAACACTCTTGTTCTCTCTCTCTCTCTTCATTTTAGTTTTAAATCATTCTTGAGACTTCTTCTGATCTCACTGCTGCTGTATGAGACTCTTCACTGTCTTCTTCTTTAATCTCTCACAGACAGTGTCATCTGCATTATTTCTATACTTAGTTCAGTCTAAATCTATTAGAAGTATTACTTAAAATCATTATCATTCTGCTCTCTTGCAGAGCCTCTTCAAGGCATTATAACATGTCTTGTGATCTGTCTTCTCTCACTTGAACATCTTCTTCTTCTCTTTCTTCAATCTGTGATAGCACTCACACGCCTTGATGATTCACAGAACTGCAGAATATTTGAAGAGAGATGACATGATTGATTTCAGTGAGTGTTGAAGAGAGGTGAAGGCAGAAGAGGCGGCCAGAAATAATATGATAATAATGATAATGATGATAATGATGATGGTAATAATGATGATAGTAATGATAATAATAATAGTGATAATGATAATGATGATAATAATGATAATAATAATGATAATGATGATGATGATGAAAAGAGAAGTGCATTGAAATATATTACTGACTTATCAAATATAAAGAGACTTAAAGAAAATATTAACAGCTTTCAGCAATGTACAGAAACAGCTACAGTGTTGTATAGCAATATCATCTTCATTCAATGCATGCACTGTTGATATTCTTTGTATACAGTTATTATATAATCTATATCAGAGATACATGCAGAAAACAGATCTTTATTACTAGAACAAATGATTACAGCAATTCTCTATTTTTATATTATAAAGATAAGTTATTCTTATTTCTTTCTTCTCTCTTTTCTCTTCTTCAATCAATCACTAATTTTAAGCTGATATGAAAACTATTAAAACACTCTCAGAAACTCTCAAATTGAAGAGTATAGACTAATCAAATTTTAAATACAGAAGAAATCAAATTATCTTCTACAGATTCAATTACTTATTCTCTCTCAAATAAAACAGCAGTTATGTCTCTTCTCTCCTCTCAATCAAACAAAACATGGCCTGTGAAAAGTGAGTATCACATCAGATCATAATGACCAACACAGCCTCAGCACACAGAGCTGCATATACACAGTGTGTGCTGAACTGAGAGACTGTGTGAGTTGCAAACTGACAGCAGCATCTCAGAGAGAGTCATGCAGTGTGAGAAAGCTGCAACTCTTGACTACATACACAGAGAGTGAATTACCACAGTAAGTGCATATACATTGAAGTAACACTTTTTAATAACACTCAGTCTCTGATATGATGAAAATAGAGTCTCTCTGTGAGATTCATTTCTATCAGAAGTCAGAGAATCTTATATTCTTCAAGATCATCTTCATGCACCTTGTTCATGAAATCAATGAGAGAAATCATCAATTTCAGTGTTCTGTTCTTGATATCATTCAAGTGACAGCAGAGTTCACTCTGACCACACTTTTTGAGTGTATATTTTCTAATTATTCACATTTATATAGATATATACTGATTATTTATTAGATGATATTAAGACAATGACTCATCACAGCTGTGTTATTCTCACTGTAAGAGATACACAGTTAATGATGAACATTGTAAAGACTCTGAGAAGTGAGTATTTTGAGAGTACTGCAGCTCTGTGATCTTGATTTTTTTTATTTTTATTTTTTGTTTTTTTCTTTTTCTTTTCTTTTTTTTTTTAATTTTTCTTTCTCTTTCTGTCTTTTTCTTTCTCTTCTTTTTTTCTTTCTCTTTTTTTTTTTTTTTTTTTTTTGTTGTGATTTTTTCTTGTTATTTTATTTTTTATTTTTTTATTATTTTTTGTATTTTACATTTTTTTTTTTTAATTAAAATGATATTGATTATAATCTATGTTCAGAAAAGTAATAATATTTGATAACACTCTCTGTTGAATTTTCAACAAATGAGCACTATGTTATGATATTATGTAAGTGAGAAATGATTTCATGGTTTCATTTAATGTCATTTTCAATAATGAGATCAGAATGAAAATGTGACTAAGAATTCAAACATATTCTTTATCTGAGACTAGATTTTTATTTGAAAAGTGAATCTGAAACCTTTAATATTTGAAATAACAGGATTTGAGATCAATGTAATGAACACAAACCATGATCAGAAGTAATGCTTTTAGACAACATAACAACTGTAAAGTTTGGTCCTGGTCTCAGACACGGTCACACAGTCAGTCTAACTAAGTACTATATCTGTGATATTCTTGTAATAACTCTGTAGCTCATGAGCTTGCTATTTAAGCAAGATAGTCAAGCTTACTTATACAGCTTCTTAATTAACTACCTCTACATGATGCTGTTAACTAGTCACTGCTTCGGTTCTGCAACGTTACAATAATGCACAGTGTATTATAATATACTTAGAATTTTCATTTGCATTGAAGAATGAGTATTTTATTGAATTAAATGTATCATTAAATCTTTATACATAAGATTTGAAATAATCATGTTCTAGTTTCAGCTAAAATATAGATGAGAATATATTTTTTTCACATTTAATTAAACAAGATTTTCACTTAAGTTTTGTTTCAAATCTTGAATAATGTATACTCTTCTTTTATTTCTGTCAGCTTTTATTTCATTTATTTAAACAAAATTCTTTTATCTTTCTCTTTATAAAAGATAAGAACACTGGTTTTTAAATAGATCTGCTTAATTCTGAACTTTTTTTTACAGCTGAATCAGTCAATTCATTGTCATGAATATTTATATAAGCAGGAACTCAGTGAAAATAAATTATCAGTTTTAATATTCTTCTCTTTTGAATTTTCAAAACAGAATTTAAAATCAGTTTAAGATTCATTTAATTATTATAAATCTGACTATTTCTAAGTCTTTTCAAAGCAGTTTAACTATTAGAGAATATTTATATCTCTTTCAAACTATTTTCTCTTTTATAAAATTTTATCTCAATAAGTTTGAAAGCTTTCACTATTATAAATAGTTCAGCATCAAAGACTTCAGATTCACAGACTAAATTTCAGAAATCTGAGATAAAATTGATATTATCTTCAGTATAAGTAATGTCTGTATCTAATCAGTTTAAACTTTTATTTTTTGAGTTATCTGAGTAAATCAGAATAGAGTCTTTTTTATTAATTATAGAGATCTTCTTCAAATACTGTTTATATTCTCTCTCTTTAGATAGTTTACTTATTTATAAGTTTATAAGAGATTTTAGTTTTTCTCTTAAGAGAGATATCTTCTCATAATTAACTTTCTCAATATTTAATAGAAAAAATTGATTTTTAATCAGTGAATATAGTCTGTATAGTTAAGAGAGCATTTTCTTTGAAGAATTATTTTTATTTCAATTGAGAAATCTATTTCAATTCAGTTCACTTTCTGAGTTGACTAGTAGAAAAACTCTGATAACTAAAAGTTCTCAGATGAATATTATATTCTCTGACTATATACATCTATAATTAAAGAATAATAATAATAATAATATAATTATTACTTATAGATAATTTTTACTGTATTTACTTCAGAGAACTCTGCTTCTTATAAATAAGTAAAATATATTATTATTTCAGTAATTTTATTTAGACTGATTATATAACTGTATCTAAGATTAGAATCAGAATATTTAATACTCTTATTATTAATTTAATTAATTTCATTACATAATTTTAAGATTAAATAGTAGTCTTATACTGTCTTAGTAAGACTTACTATCTACTTTTATTACATTTTTCAAATAAGATTATAATTTTTACTTCTCAATTTAAATTCTTTTTATTGCTTTAAATGACTTTAAATCTGATTTGAGTGTTATTAAAAATTGTTACTTTTTAAAAAATTAAAAATAGTTTAAGAAAAACCTTAAAATGTCTAAAATAGTAACTTTATATTAAGAATGAGACTAAATAAAATTAAATAAAATTACTTCTTATTTTTTCTAAGTTATAATCTTATTTTAAAATGTAAGAATAAGTGCTCGCAGGCAATTATTCGGGTGTTTACAGCTTGATGTGATATGTACTGTTAACTACTAGAAGTATTCACAGTAGAAAGAATAAATATAGAAGTTAATGTATAATAGTATTTAAGCTGAGTTATGAATAGTAGTTGTCAACTTCAGTCTATATAGTTATGTATAGCTAAGAGCTGCTAACTCTATTAATTATATAGAAGATAAAAATAGAAATAAAGTATCTGTAAAAAGTGAGATTTCTTACATACTTCTCTCTCTTTAATATTTCATCTGTGAAGTCTTTCATTGAGTAATTTCATAGAATTGACTCAGTACTGCAGTGATACTTACTAAAAATTCTTCATATCTATAAAAAACCTTAGTGAGGAAAAATACCTTGTTACTATAAAGAAAAAAGAGTCTGTTACTCAGTTTCTTATTTTATAAGATTTCTTATAATCTGTAGATCTTTCTCTGACTATTACACAGATTTATCTCATATCTTTTATACAGAAGAATTTCAGTTGACTCTTAATCATTTTCATGAGATTCTTATGTAATTATTATACAGATTTATTCTGCAGATGAATCACTCTCTGTGAGATTACTCTCATTAAAGAGAAGTATTCATGAGTTAATCTTTCACTTATTTTCATAAATCATTATTCTTTGATACTGTAGAATTGTGAGGAATTTTTCATTCTTTCATTAACTCTGTAGAATTGTAGAATTAAGATATTTACAGTCTGCAATTACTCTTTATAGTTATATAGAAAGATTCAGATCTGTAATTCATAATCACTCTTTATTTACTAGAGTAATCTGACTGTTCTGTAGAATTACTTATAGTGTAAATAAATCTCTCTAGAGTAGTAGAAATATTTCAGATCTATTTATAGAATCTCATCTTCTTTTCTCTTTTTCTATAACAGCTTTTATTCTTATAAACTGTGAGTATTCTCATTCATCTGTGAAGTGTTTTCACTTAGATAATAGAGAGAGAGTGTTTCTGACAATATCTATATATTAATTCAAGAGCTTCTCAAGAATGAAAAATCTTTCAATTTTAATATCTTTATAAATAATATCTAGCTGTTGCTGAGCTTCTTATAAGTGTTCTTATAACTTCTCTGATTACTTTTTATCAGCTGATGAAACAGAGATATTACTACTTATAACAGTGTCTTCATTCTTCTCAGCT